AGGAACACATAACAGCTTCTTTGCATGCTGCATGCTCCTGAAAAGGGGAGAAGAAGCCATGACTGGCTGCCACATGGTCCCATTATGGACAGGAAACCATGTTGACTGGGCTCCTGCTGTTATGGCCATCTGACCAAGCCGAAGAAGCCAGATTGGCTGAAGGAAAATGGCTAAAAGGGATTCACGGACAAGCCTACTCTTAACTTTTGGAGAAAGGAGAGCAGAGAGGGGGCCAGCCTATTCTCCCAAGGGAGAGAGAGGAGGAGGCTCAGACCTCGAGTTGTTATTAGACTACAACTCCCAAATTTGTGAACAATGTCCATTAGATAAATATGCACTTTTGCTAAGAAAAGTTGCTGTACTAACTGTGTTTGATTTAGCAAACCACATCCCTTGCAACTACAGCCATCCCCCCACTTTCACTTGGATTTTTTTTTCGTATCAGGAGCGACTTGAAAAGTTGTTTCTGATGTGAGAGCGTATTGGCCATCTGCAAGGACGTTGCCCAGGGAACACTCAAATGTTATGATGTTTTACCATCCTTGTGGGAAGCCTCTCTCGTGTTCCCACATGGGGAGTTGGAGCTGACAGAGGGAGCTCAACCCACTCTCCTCAGATTCGAACCGGTGACCTGTCGGTCAACAGTTCTACCCGCATGAGGGTTTAACCAATTGTGCCACCAGGGTCTCCTTGAGTTAAGGGCACAAGATACCTATGAAAGTAGGAAAACTACAATTAAAAAAGAATTCATGGGGGAAACACCTCTTTAGGAACCTCCAGATCTTCCAGGGAAAATTAAGACTTGTGCGCCAACTGCGACCGTACCTCGTGAAGGAGGTCCATGCTTTAGTCACCTCCAGATTGGACTACTGTAATGCATTCTACGTGGGGCCGCCCTTGAAAACGGCCTGGAAATTTCAATTGGTCCAACGGGCGGCGGCCAGGTTGTTAACTGGGGCTCCTTACAGGGAGAGGTCAACCCTCCTGTTTAAGGAGCTCCATTGGATGCCGTTCATTTTCCGGTCCCAATTCAAGGTGCAGGTTCTTACCTACAAAGCCCTGAACGTTTGGGACCCTCCTACCTGTGTGGCCGCATTTCTGTGTAGACGAACCCACATGATCTCTTCGATCATCTTGAGAGGCCCTGCTCACGCTCCCACCTCCATCGCAGGCGCGATTGGTGGGGACGAGGGAGAGGGCCTTCTCGGTGGTGGCCCCCCGACTCTGGAACTCACTCCCCAGGGATATCAGGCACGCCCCAACTTTGGCAATTTTTAGGAGAGACTTGAAAATGTGGTTGTTCCAGTGTGCCTTCCCAGAATAAGGAAACTTCCAGTAATATGTCCCTAATTGCACCTTATTAGTGATCTAGAACTGTCTGTATGCCCCATTCTTTTCCGAAATTCTATCCTAGTTATATTTCACCTGGTCTTGTCCAGCATTATTTTTAAATTTTAACTATTACATTTGGCCCAGCCATTGGTTTTTAAATGTTATTGTGTTATTGTCGATGTTTACTGCCTATTTTTTGTTTATGAGCTTTATTTTATTGTTTTGTATTACTGCTGTTGTTGTTTTTTGCTGATGTATTGTGGGCTCGGCCTCATGTAAGCCGCACCGAGTCCCTTGGGGAGATGGTAGCGGGGTATAAATAAAGTTATTATTATTATTATTATTATTATTATTATTATTATTATTAAAATCAATGGCCAATTTCCAATGGAAGCTGACCATAGGAACATCATGGAGGACCCAGAAATCCTTAGAGAAAACACATTAATGAAATCTGCAAAAGTTAAGTTTTGCAAATGTGTGGGGCTGACTGTACTATATTTTCACATAAAATCTTGCCAAATCACAGAGGATGCAATCCTATATGAACAAATCTAGGAAAATGTACAGTGAAACACAATGTAGGTGCCTCTAAGTATACACGTAAGCAAGAGTGCTGTAAAAGATCTCTGACTTGTTTCTAGTAAATGAGTTGATGTTAGCTCCAGGTTATTGCGTTTTAGGCCGGGAGGCATTCTGCACAAAGTAAGTTATATAGATTATATAAGTAATCTCTGCCTTGAATTTTGCAATAACAGATTTTTTTAGATTTGAACATTAATGTGAAATATACACAATTTCTCAATTATTATAACCCTGAGAGTTCCAGAAAAAGAGAAGATGTGACAATCTGGAGATTGCGAAACTTTCAGGTCAGTTGCAGCAAACCAGGCCAAACTGCCTGAAACAGGATTGTCTGCCACAATCTTTCCAGGAGCTAAATGTCACAGATCTTTCCAGAACCAAAAATAGCTGAAGATTGTTCTAAAAATACTTCTGCTAAGCTTTTGGGATCTGTTTTGAAGGGGAAAAAATCAGTTTAAACCATGTGGTATACAGTTTTTATTTTTTACCTTTTAAAATTGAGGTTTTAATTGGTTTTAGTTTGATGATCCAATTATATTTTAACAGTAACCATTGTATGCTTTTACCTGTACTTGCTTTTTAATTTTTTTTTGGTGTGAAATGATTTTCAGGAAGTAGAGTATCTACAGTAATCAACAAAGGAAGAATTATATTAACACCTTCCAACTGAAAGGGAAGGTAAAGGTAAAAGTTTACCCTTGACATTAAGTCCAGTCATGTCTGACTCTGGGTGTGGTGCTCATCTCCATTTCTAAGCCGAAGAGCCGGCATTGTCCGTAGACACCTCCAAGGTCATGTGGCCAGCATGACTGCATGGAGTGTTACCTTCCCGCTGGAGCGGTACCTATTGATCTACTCACATTTGCATGTTTTCGAACTGCTAGGTTGGCAGAAGCTGGGGCTAACCATAGAAGCTCACCCTGCTGCCCGGATTCAAACCTGCGACCTTTCGATCAGCAAGTTCAGTGGTTTAACCCACTGCACCACTGGGTGCTCCCTTAAAAGGGAAGAGCCAATCTTTAAGTGGCATTTGCACCTGCAGTGGCATTGTCAAGTTCCTTGCAATTTCCTTTCTTCTTCGGTGCTCCAGCAATATGTCTTGAATATTATCACTTTCCATTGCTGAAGCACTTTGAACCCATAATATGGTAATCATATAGGGATAGGGAAGCAGGAGCATTTAATTTTAAACCGTTGCTTAATTTAGGCTGGTTTGGTAAGCTACAAATATAATTGGAGTATGCAAGAATCAAGTTCATATATGTGTACCTGTATGTATTTTTATATTTCCATTATACACACACATACATACAGGTACACATATATGAACTGGATTCTTGCATGTGCCAATTAACATTAGATCTTCTCAAAGGGGGATACTTCTGGACAGAATTGCAATAGAAATACTATAGAGGCTGGAGAAATGTCTTGTCAGGAATTCGGTCACCATCATGGAAGCCATCATGAAGGATTATTCTGTTTACACAAGATTGATATCCATGTATGATGTCTCTTGGAGCTTGTATGTTGGTTGCCATTGAATACTACAGTTATGGATTCGTAATCTCAGTTTATGGACCTGTAATTACTCTATGTCAGTGGTTCTCAACCTTCCTAATTCTGCGACCCCTTAGTGCTATGGTGACCCCCAATCATACAATTTTAGTTGCTACTTCATAGCGGTAATTTTGCTACTGTTATGAATTGTAATGTAAATATTTGATATGCAGCATGTATTTTCATTCACTGGACGAAATTTGGCACAAATACCCGATATGCTCAAATCTGAATACTAGTTGGGCGGGGGTATTGATTTTGTCATTTGGGAGTTATAGTTGCTGGGATTTATAGTTCATCTATAATCAAAGAGCATTCTGAATGCCACCAACGATGGAATCGAACCAAACTTGGCAGACAATACTCCCATGACCAACAGAAAATACTGGACCGGTGGGCACTGACCTTGCGTTTTGGAGTTGTACTTCACCTATATCCAGAGAACACTGTGGACTCAAACAATGATGAATCTGGACCAAACTTGGCATGAACACTCAATATGCCCAAATGTGAACACCGATGGAGTTTGGGGAAAAATAGACCTTGACATTTTTTGAGTTGTAGTTCCTGGGATTTAGAGTTCACCTACAATCAAAGAGCATTCTGAACCCCACCTATAGAATTGGGCCAAATTTCCCACACAGAACTGTATATACTTGTGTACAAATCTAGAAATTTTAGTTAAAAACCCAACCCCCAAAACTGGGTCAATAAATCTATGGGTCAATAGAAGTACTGTGCCTTTACTCTTATTTTGAAAAGGAACCATCCCCTTGCCTAAGTAGTACAATGAAAGGTGAGAGTTTTGTCTGTGTCAAAATATCCTTAAACATTTATTTATTTCTTTATTTCTTTATTTATTTATTTATGACTTTCCCAACCATATGGTGATTCAAGGCGGGTTGAGTAACTGACCTTTTGCTTTTGGCCTTTTTTAAAATGTTTGCGCATTTTTTTTTTACAACGGTGACCAACAGTGGATGGCCCTCTAAGGCACTACTGGGATTTCCCCTCACTGCGAAATTATCCTCATTCCTCAACTTGTCTACAGGTCATATCAAAATCCAAACAGCGCCCCACAAATTCCCCCTTGCACATAAGGCAATTTATACAAAAGTGTGCATGATAAATGCCCTCCACCCCATATGAAGAGCCAGCAATCAAATTGGGTGAAGGAGGTTTGTTCAGATGTTTATCAGAGCACAGTGATGATGATTCCCATCCATTTCCATCAGTGAGCATGGGCTGTGATAAACAGAAGAAGGATCTTGCTGGCAGGAGAAGACTGAAAACATTACCCTTGAGCCCTAGTCAGCAGTTGAACTGACCCCCTTTGCTTGATCTGGCTGCTAACTCTCATGGTAATTTGGTGGTGGTGATGGAGCTGGGCCAGGACATGTTACTGACACATGCATAATTGAGCAGCCAATGTGGTATATCAGTAATGGGTACTAAAGTGGGTAGAAATGATATTACTTATGGTGGCTTTCATGTTTTCTCCAAAATAATCATGAAATTATTCTCTTTTCAAATATTTTTATTACTCCGACAAAATTAAAATCATTATACAAAAAAACCCAGTATGAAAGCAGATGATAAATATGTTTCTCATTCCTAACTGAGCTGCATTTCACATCTGTGTGAGCCTGAACATCACTTGATAGTTACGAAGACATGGCAAAGCCAGTCTCAGTAATGACTGAGAGGTCTGCGTATATCTAGTGAAGTTTTTGATAGGAGATTTCCCCCTTCTTCTTGCCATGTCATCATATCTTCAGTTTCAAAAGTCATTTGCCACATGGCACGGGGAACAAAAACAAGGCCCGAACACCTTTGGCCAGTCAGAATAGGCATATGCTTTCTTGTATCTTGAATCAGTGCATCATTTTTTTTTTCATACAGTAGTCTCACTTATGCAACATAAATGGGCCAGCAGAATGTTGGATAAGCAAAAATATAATAGGAAGGGATTAAGGAAAAGCCTATACTGTAATATAGATGCTGCTTGGGAGGGAGAGAGCAGGGTCCGGAGGTCCCCCTTTGTTCTGGGGCCTCCCCTTTCTGCCTCCTCCAGGCCCTGGCGCCCTACCCCGCTCTCTCCCTCCCATGCTCACTCACTCACCGGGCCAGGTCCCGGCGGCAGAATCAGGAGCCTGGCATCCATTGGGAGGGGCGGGATGTGGCCAGTGCAGGCCAGAAGCATGCGCCTGGTGGACCTGCTGTATTTTTTTTGGGGGGGGGTAGGGGTGTCGGATAGTTCAGAGTGTCGGATGAGCGAAGATTGGATAACCGAGACTCTACTGTATGTTCTATTTCTGGCTGTATAAACAAAGGGACCCTAAAAATTTAGGCTAATGGGATACTTGTGAATTGACGAGTGTATAATAGAATCCCTCTAGTGCCAGAAGCTGGCTGTGAGTTCCCTGTTCTATTACTTTGCCATTCTGGATGACTGCTATGATGTCGGAATTCTGGATAGTTGATAATCTGTGAGCAATAACAATGCAGGTTCGACCTTTCCTAGCTTCATCCAAGGCCTTCTGGACAACCTGCAGGTGAAAGCAAAAAACAAACATTTTTACAATGGTAGTACAATTGAAAAACATAAATTGTAACCATTTGTCTATTTACTGTCCAAATATTGTAGGATGAAGTTTTACAAACCTTTTCACTTTCTGTATCGAGAGCTGATGTGGCTTCATCCAAAAGAAGAACTGCTGGTTTACGAACAAGGGCGCGGGCAATTGCTATTCTTTGTTTCTGTCCTCCTGAAAGCTGGGCTCCTTTGTCACCTACGCGAGTATTGTATTTCTTTGGATTAAAATGAAATAAACAGACTATGTAAGTGTTGTGAAAATCACTTAAGTTGCAAGGCAATATTAAAACTCTTGTGCATGCACTATGCAAAGTTTCATAGAAACAAAGGAGAAAATAATAAATATAATTAATTAAGAAATAAATACTTTATTTATAGACTGCCCTCTCTCCCCGAGGGGATTCAAGGAGGTTTACATCAAAAAGGCAAACATTCAATGTCATAATCAAATTCACACACATCAAAATAATACAAAATAGCATTAGTAACCCTATAACTAAAGACAAAATTAAAAATGAAATGAAATGAAAAAGAAAATACAAGTACTTGAATAAAACATAATTACACCAATAAAACACAACAACACTAAAAGCCTTTACCTAAGACAAACAACAAAAAGGCATAAAAAGTGCCTGACCTCAGTTGTGATTTAAAATATGCCGTAGCAGCCGTAAAGCGCAAATAATGAATCAGTGCTCCACTGAAATTGGTTTAGAGTGTGCTAGTTCTCCTCCTCTCCATACACTAAGGTACATAAATGTGTTTTCAGAAATGTTTTGAAAGAGAGGAGGGTAGAGGCCATTTTTAATTCTTTGAGAAGGGTGTTCCAGAGGCGGCAAGCAATCACGGAGAAGCCCCCCCCCCCGCTCCCATCGACTACACTTGTGACAGGGTGGGACCGAGATCAGGGCCTCCACTTCTGACTGCAGTGTACAAGATGTCTTTATAGGGAGATGCAGTTAGACAAATAGCCTGGGCCCAAACTGTTTAGGGCTTTATAGGTAAAACTCGATGATCTAGCATGACATCCTGGGCCATTCTCACTTTTGCCACCTCCTTTAAAAGGAGATGAAGATCTTCAAATCTGTTGAGATGGACAAATTAACTAGGCAGACAAAAAAGAAATATGGAGGTCGAAAGAGTTACCAACAAAAAAACAATGGATTTTGAAACTTAGATATAATTAATATGGACGTTTTAACACTAATATTAAACAGCAATCTAGCAAAAATGAGGAAAGCAATGGACTGGTCACCCATTAAGGTTTACATCAATAAAGAAAACATTACATTGCTAGTGGACATTTAAGAAGCTCGACAAGCAGATAATGTCATGCCATGATAGAACAGAAAAGGAGAAAGCGATTCTAAACAGACTAAACGGGAATAACAGAAGTCAACAACCACAGTTGAGAAGACTGGAGGTCAAACCTTTCATCCCCCCATCTTTTTTTTCTTTTCCCTTCCCTTTCTTCTCCTACCCCCTTCCCCCTCCCCTCCCAAGAAACCATGGTCTTTCTCCTTTCCCTTATACTACATTTTATGTTAAATTGAACTTTAATTAAAAACATTATTTTAAAAAAGATAATCTTTGCAACCTAAGAGGAATATTTTTGTTGAGAAAGAAAGCAATGAACAACTAACCTCTGGCAGGCTTTGTATGAAGTTATGAATGTTAGCTGCTTTAGCTGCTTCTTCAACTTCTTCCTGGCTGACCACTCTGCTGTTGTCACCATACTGGATATTCTCCGCAATGCTGCAGTCAAACAGAATAGGTTCCTGCTGCACAAGCCCCAGCTGGGACCTTAGCCATTGAATATGCAGAGATTTGGTATCCACTCCATCTACAAACTGCAAACAGGAGAATTTTAGACATCCTCACTGCAAAGTTTGAAATCAGTTCTTACATACCTGATTTTGAAAGTCCAAAAACCCTAGCAGCTCGATCTATTTTGTTGAGCACTTTACTAGTACAGAATGCAGTTTGAGAATCAGCTTGACTGAGTCGGAATTGATGTTTTTATATGTGCATGTGTTTTATTTTATTGTATTTTATATTGTGTTCACTTTTATGTTTGCTTTTAGGCACTTTGTGCCATCTGTAAGCCACTCCGAGTCCTTTCGGGGAGATGGTGGCGGGATATAAGAATAAAGTTGTTGTTGTTGTTGTTGTTATTATTATGCATCCATATTAATTTTAATGTAGTGCTTGCTATATACATTATTGGAATGTTGTGTGTTTCTGTTAATGGACTTACATATATCTAGCTGTAGCTAAGTTTTTTTAAGTAAATGTATAAAATTTGGTTAATGGAGGCTGTTTGGACATTTGGACGAAACTTTCCATACATGACTGACTGCATGCAGCCCTTCCCCATGTTTTAAAGTGAAATAGTAACTATGATCTGTAACATAAAGCAACTGAAATGCATCACATTTTCAAATCAGTAACATTGGAGCCATGGTCTTTAGAGTTGTTGATTGGCTCCCATACTGATTAATATGTTTAATAATAATAATAATAATAATAATAATAATAATAATAATAACAACAACAACAACAACAACAAATACAAACTTTATTTGTATTCCACCCTATCTCCCCAAGGAGATTCAGGGCGGATTCCAGCATAACAATGGCAAACATTCAATGCATACATAAAACACACAATACTAACATAAAATCCCAGAAAAAAACACATTAAAGCCTAGCATCAAATTAAGACCTAACATCAGTAAATTAAACCTGGCATCAATAAATTAAACTACATGTAATCAGACAAAATTATATAATAACATAAATCTAACCAAAACATCCACATTAGTGTACAACATCCAGCAAGGGTTCACAAAACAGTGTGGGTTAGTTATGTAGTCAAATGAGGTCATTGGGCTGGCATGGATCAGGAAAGCCCAAATACAAATAGTTCTCAACCAGAGGCCTGGGAGTGGTCTCTCAACCATCTATTCCTCCTCCTTTCCATATGCTAGAGAGCAGAAGTGGGTCTTCAGTTGTTTTTAAAGGAGAGGAGGGAGAGAGCCAGCTTTATTTCTTTAGCGGGGAGTTCCATAGGGGGGCGACCATGGAGAAGGCCCTCTCTCTTGTTCTGACCAGCTGTGCTTGGGTTGGGGGTGGGACCGAGAGTAGGGCCTCCTCCGATGACTGCAGTGCAATTCTATAACAAGAGTTATAGAAATAACAACAGTGAAGGTTTACTGTAATACTTAAAAACCCATTTAGCCTTATTCTGGTTTTGGAACCTTATGCAGCACATGGTAACACTCAGTTTCAACAAAATAGCACTTTCCCTTGAACTGCTTTCATATTCTCAGCTTCTCAAACCCTATTCAGGTTATTTGTTCATCACTTTGTAACAAAATCAATATCTTTCTAACTAGTACTGACTCTTTTATAGTCATTCCTCTAGCTTATATTCTGCCCTAACTATAGATTTCACAAGTGTGCATAGCAATTCCAATTCACAATACTCCAGGTGCTAATGTTTTAAGCAACACACTGATTTTCTCTGACTACATTCTTAATACTTGGTTTCTTTCAAATCTACATGAAGCATAAAAACCTGAACAAGGTAACTATTGAGACAATACCTCTTCATCCAATTTGTGTCAACGCTGCCTATAGCTGAACAAAGCAGAGGCTGCGCACCTGTGACTCTTCAGATTTTGATAAATTACTACTGCTGCCACCATCTTTCACCACTAAACAGGTCAGGAATAGCTGATAGAAACTGGAATCTAACAACACTTGAAGTGCTAGGTATACCATAATGCTACCCTGGAAGCGGTGATGGCAGACAGAGGCTCCCAATGTCAGTAGATATATTTAGTAGGCTCTCAGTTTAGTTCAAATGTTAGAGGTATGTGAAGCTCTGCATTTATTTTGAGGATAGGTTAAGCATTTTGAAAAGCTCATTTGAAATATGGGCTAAACTCTGATATATTCGATTCCCTACTGATATGGGAGCTGATATGGAAGCATCCTCTGTAGAATGTCACATCAAAATAGTGTCAGTCTGACACGTTTGCAGATTGGATTATTCTAGATTTGCTTAAAATGGTCTGCTTAAGAATCTCTAGGGCCTCCCATGTGGCTCCATGGTCAATTTCCTCCAATCATGCTAGAGGACTTAGAGAACATCACCATAGGCATCTCTAGGTCTTCCTCCGTAATTCTATTTGTCTAGCTTAAATTGTATGCAGATGTTTTTATGTTAAGCCGCTTTGAGTCTCCTGCGGGAGAGATAAAGCGGGGTATAAACAACAACAACAACAATAATGCCACCTTCCAGCAGATGTTGACCGTAGAGTCATGCTGGAAGACCAAGAAATTCCTAGATAGGTGTTCTCTCGGGTGAACCCCCCCCCCCCCAGCAATTCGTGGTTTAAATTTCATGAGGATGCTATGCTTCAACCCCAAGAATTACTTGCTTGTATCACTGCATTGTGAGTTTCTGCAATATTGTTCCTCTTTGAGTAATGTGGTGGCGACATGGAAAAACCCTCTCATAAAGACAATTCTAAGCTTTGCAGGTAGTACAGAGAATGAAGAGAAATCGTTGCTGTATCATTTCTTCCAGGCCGAAGGACAGACAAAGCTACTGACTCACCACTTGTCCTGATGCTGGGTCATAGAACCTCTCCAGAAGCTGAATGGAGGTGCTTTTGCCACAGCCACTGCTTCCCACCAGGGCCAGAGTCTGTCCTTTGTTAACCTTTATGTTGAGTCCTTGCAAAACCTGAACTTCTCGCCTGGTTGGGTATGCAAAGTGTATGCCCTTAAACTCAACATTGCCTTCGAATTTAACCTATTGAAACGAGAGAAGGAACAGAGAAATGCACTGTAAGGCACAAGATTTTTTTTCTTCTCATGAGAGTTTCTGTAGAAAATAAAAATAGTCAACCTGGCAAACAAGACAATGTCTTGACATCAGGCACTAAACAAAAGATGGTAGCTTGTCTCTTCTCCAAAATTATGAACATCCCTTGAAACATTGTTAAATCAATGATTACAAAGAAGATATTATTCTACCTAGAAAATGCTGTCCATCAAAACTCAGTGGCTGGGTAAGGAAAGCATGAGTCACAGAAGCAAACAAGAGGGAAAAGCTAACTCTGAAGGACCTGGAGAGACCTGCAGCTGAGATGGAAGAAGCTAGTCATGGGGCAATCATTACCTGAATGCTTCATAAACTGGGTTTTGCGAAAGAATGCTGAGAAAAAACCCATTATTGAAATAAACCACACATCAAAACCTGTTTGGCTTTTGCAAAATGAATAAGGAAACCTAACAAATATGTGAGTAGCAGTTCTCTAATCTAATGAAATCAAAAACTGTTTTTTTAATCCAGCTGCACAAAGTCACCAGACTTTGTGCAGCTATATGTGGCACAAAGTCACTAGAACTCATTGCCCTGAGAACACCATCCCAACAGCAAAGGATGGCAGTGGCAACCTAATGTTCTGGGGATCCTTAACTGGTATGGGTTGTGGGTGAGGTAGAGGGAGACAAATACAGGACCATTTTGGAGGCAAGCTTGTTTCAGATTGCAAAGGACTTGGGCAGAGTTTAAGTTTCCAGGACAGTAACTCCAGATATCCAACCAAAGTAACCCTGGAACTTGAACATCTTAAAATGTCCCAGTCAAAGCATGTACTTCATTCTAATTAAGATTCTGTGGTAACATTTAAAAAGTGGCTGTTCACTTACATCCCTCATCCAAGCTGAGAGAGTCAGAGCGATATTGCAACAATGAATGAACAAAAATCACAGCATTCATATACACAAAGCTGTCAGAAACTACCCAAGAAGAGCTTATAGCTTAACTGCTACAGAAGTGTTTTTATACTGCATACTCATACACTGAGATTTAATGCACCAAAAAGAACAATTATAATTTACAAGACCTTACCAATTTTTCACCCTCTTCACTATAGCTGTCAATAGCTGGCTTCTGATCCAAAAGCTGAAAAATTCTTCGGGCAGAAATTTTTGATTTGCTAAAATCAGGTGCCAAAGTACTAGTCTGGCCAGCATTAAGGGAAGCAAAAATCACTGAAGCGAAGACTCTGGAAATATAAAATACAAACAATAAGGAGCTGTATTAGAACATAAAATACAAATTTCCAATCTCATACACACTGCTACAGTTAATTGCAAATGGCCATTCAAAGTTCTACATAATAGTGCAGAAATTTATTATATACCACCCTGAGATTCTCAGATGTAAGGCAAATTATAAATATTTTAAAACAATAACATTACTATATTATAATAGTCCCACTTTATCAGCTACTATGTGAAGCTACTATGTGATGGTTCTCTGTATAATACTGGCAACATCAACTTTCAATTAATACACTATTTGTTGCCACACACACACGTATGTATGAGAGAGATGCACAAAAAACTTTGGATATAGGAACTGTGTTCAGTGCAGCTTAGATGAAAAAATCATCTGTATCACAAGAGCTAACTACATAGAGTCACTAGGGTTGGTGGCATCCAGTGCGGTTACACATGGCGCCTTCCCTATGGGAGGAGAAGTTAAGTATGGAGGAACTCTCTTGTTCAGACATAGCTACTGTAAGCAAAATGATAATCTCTGGGAATGATGCCTGGGAAAGGGTAGTAGTGATACCACCTTTGGAGAAAGAAAATGGTGAACTACTCACCAGTTTGGATGGTAGGACATGAATTGGCACTCTCCCCCCACTAACTACATACATTACAAATAAAATGTGAAGGCAATAAACCTTTCCATAGTGCTTATCAGTAACTGATACTGAATGACTGGCTGCTTTTGAACTGGGACACTTCATATAGCAAACTTAGTAGTAGTAAGTAACCAATAAATTGGCCCTCCATGTTGTCTCTGCCTCTCTGAATGACAAATAATAGACTTCTTTCACACGATACCATGTTATATACTTAGGTATACACAACTACATGCAAATATTTGTCCATTTGTTTTAGAAAATCAATTTATGCTTGAAGCCCTTGACATAACGTAGGCCTTTAGAAATTCAAAAGATAAACTCACATAAAAAGCTGTTCAAAGTTCATGTAGCAATGGGTGATAAGCCAAGCTCCAAATCGGAAGATAGCAGCATTTATAAAATAGTTGGTGCTAGAGGATATTCCATATGAAATTCCGGAAAGGGGAGCTGATTTCAGAGAATCCCTAATAGGAACAAAAGCCAGTTAGAAAGAAAGACAAATTGCTATGAAATACAGAGGAACATGAGAAAGAAAATATGGACAGAATTCTGATAGTTTACATAAGTTTAATTGCAACAGTTCTCAGGGGTGTCAAACTTATTTTCATTGAGGGCCATATCAGCCTTATGGTTGCCTTCAAAGGGTCCTTGAATTCATGGATGGAGAATCAGTGGATACAGAGGGCCAACTATAATTTTTACATAGTGGCCGATTCTTTTTAGTTTTTACCCAGTTTGGGTCCTCAGATGTTACTGAACAACAACTTCCATTACTTTTGATTATCTGCCATGCGGACTGGGGACAATGTGAATTGCAACCCAACAGAACTTACGGCTCTGGGGAAAAGGTTGGGGAAAGGTTAAAGGATATTTCAAAGTCAAATATCATATCCACAAGCCTTGTATCTAAATTCAAACCACACTAGTCATACTAAGCAGAAAAAAACCCCAGCTTTCCAGGTGTTACTGTATCATACCTCCCATCTAGTCATGATGTCTAAATCAGGAGTTGTAGTCTAGAATCTGGAGGGTCCGATAAAATGACATGCCAGGCTGGATTTAGCTTCTGGGCCTTGCATTTGACAAATATGCCCTGTCTACACCTCATTTAACACATGACTATTCAATGTGTTGTCGAAGGCAAGACTCAATCAGGACCAGTTAACATCTCCCAATAAAGGATTCTCCCAGGCAGCAACCAGGCAGGCTTTGAAAAGCCATTAAATGCTTATCAAGGTGGCCAATTGCAACATTCACACTTGCCTCTAGCAGACAAAAGTTCTTTCTCCCACCCTGGACATTCAACAGATATATAAACCTCACTTGCCAAGTTTCCAACAGCTCCCTAAACCTCTGAAGATGCCTGACATAGATCTGGGTAAAACGTCAGGAGATAATGTTTTTGGAACATGGCCATACAGCCCGGAAAACTCACAGCAACCCATGATTATTCAATTCTTAGTGGGGCAAGGAATGAGCCCAAACATTGAGTTGATGCCCCACTAAAAAAGGTAAAGGTTTTCCCCTGACATTAAGTCCAGCCTCTGGGGGATGGTGCTCATCTCAATTTCTAAGCCGAAGAGCTGGCGTTGTCCATAAACACCTCCAAGGTCATGTCGCCAACATGACTGCATGTAGCACCGTTCCCTTCCTGCCGGAGCGGTACCTATTGATCTACTCACATTTGCATGTTTTCGAACTGCTAGGTTGGCAGAAGCTAGGGCTAACAGTGGGAGCTCACGCCGTTCCCTGGATTCGAACCTGCGACCTTTCGGTTAGCAAGTTCAGCAGCTCAGTGGTTTAACCCACTACACTTTGAATATGGCAAGGTAACAACTATATCAGTAGCAAAAGAGGGGGTAGTAGTTTTCTATCTGTTTCTCCTGATTGTTAAGTTGTCCATTCTTTTTATGGCTTTTTATGACTTATCACACCAGAAGCAACTTGCAGTTTCTCAAGTTGCTCCTGACACACAAAAAAAGACTTCTAATGTGGTTTCTGCTCTCAGCTGTGCAACATTCCCTCCCATTACCAGTATTAAAATAAAGTAACATTTAAGTAGTAACCTGATCACATGGATGGAGGAATAGACGCAATTGTATTTAGCTCAGATAGCAAAACTATTTGTGCAATAATGATGTTTCCCTCCCTCTCATGCTTCCTCAGTCTATATCAATGTCTCACTGAATATAATTCATACATAAAGTCTGGAAATAGAGCATGTAATTGCATGCAAGCTTTATTACCTGTATGGACCCTCTAAGCTTGCCTTATATCTTTCAAAAAACCTGTCTTCTCTTGTCAAAGAAACCACGGTCCTTATATTTTCTACAGCTTCTGTGGAAATCTAAGATAATGGAAAAAATAAAATATGTTTGACGCTGTAAAAGGTGGCCAGTGTGGCAATTTAGAAGGGTGCTACTGTGCTGTGCTACTGTTTAGCCTAGTAGCAGGAGGCTTCGTAAGGAGGTCTGATTAGCCATAACAATTGATAGCTAGGGCATCCTGGACTTACCCATAGCCAGACATTTTAGATAAGGGAAACTTACTCTTCCAGCTTCTTCAAGGGCCTTTTGATCCTTTGCTGCGTGACCAGAAGCAGACTTAAGTCTAATGGCATATGCAGCAGCAATTATGGGAATACAACCCAGGATGAGCAATGTTAACTGCCAACCATGCACAAAAGCGATAATAATTGCAGTGATAAGTGTGAATGAATTCATGGTTATTAAGCTCAGTCGACTTCCAGTAGCCTAAAATGCAAACAAAAATATTAATTTCTCTTTTTTTCCAGCACAATTTAAAAAATAGCACACAGATATACAACAAGTATAGCATTTTCATAGCAAAGGTGCAAGTCTGAATAGGGTAATATAATAACTCAACCTTTCAATCACTTACTAAAATAGTAAATTAGTCATAATGGTACGTTCAGCTAAGAAACCATGATGAACATCTATTTGTCTTTTGGCTTTGACTAATGTGGTTACACTGTTCTTTCCAAGTCATGTTATTAAATGTTTTGGAGAACTACTAAATACAGTGTTCCCTCACTTATCGCAGGTGTTACGTTCCAGGACCACCTGTGATAAGTCAAAATCCGCAAGCTAGGGACACTATATATGTACTGCCTTGGCACACGCGAGGTGTAGGATGCCCTCTCCTAGGAGTGGCTCTGCCCAGTCCTCTCCCCCCTCCCACGCACTCAATCCCTTTGCCTTCTCTTTCCTCTCCTCTTTCTCCCTCCCTCCCCCCTCCTTTTGCACATCACACTTCCCGGTGGCTCCTTCTCCTGTGCTTGGTTCCCCCTCTCCTTCCCATTTCTTCCCCCTCCTCCTACCTCGCTCGCACGCGCCTTCTTCACCTTCCTTTCCTCTTCCTCCTTTTCTCCCCGCAGCTCCCCCCACCTGCCTCCCTGTCAGGGAAGGAAGGAAAGGAAGCAAGCCCTCCTTGCCTTTCCCTTCACTGTGTGAAGAGAGAGCAAGTGAAGAGAAGAAAGGAAAGGCCCTTCAAGGCTGGAAGGAGGGAGGACTGAGGAGGGCAAGTGCAGCGGAGACTTGTTGCGGACCGGTTTGGGCACCTGCCGCATGACATATATTTTAAATTCATATTTATAAAAAAAAACCTGTGAAACAGTGAGTCCGCAAAAATCGAACCATGAAGTAGTGAGGGAACACTGTAATTCTGCACAACAGAAGTTTCACAATACCATTTCTCTTTGATAATGAGTGATATTTTTCATAACACACTATGGGACCATCTCTTCATGATGTCAGCAGGCAATGCTGCACTGCTCTTTGTTTTAATGTTGAAAAGAACTCATCAATGAATATTGAAGCAGTACAAGTCATCCTCCTGCCATCTCCCTCTTGGCATTCTGTAGTTGAATGTCCAGTGACACACAACTTATAGTCCGGTAGGCTGAGTCACTGAGAGAGCTGCCACAAAGTAAGATACTGACAATTGAGGTGAAACAGCACCTTGGTACAAACATTGCAATAAGTATTTTAATTAAAACACAACAAAATAAGTAGAAAACATACTCCTTTGACTTGAGAAGCATCTGTTGCAAGTCTGGTTAGCAGAACCCCAATGCCATTTTTATGGTCATCAAACCATCCAATCTCCTAAAAACACAAAAGTGGTTCAGAGCATGTTTGCATCTGCAAATATATTTTGTCAAAACTCAGAACTTAGAGGGGTATCTGTGGTTACATGACATAAATACCATGCTTATTGAAAAGTTGTATTACTCAAGATCATGTTTTGGGGAAAAGATTATGAATATTGATATAGCCCATAGATAAGTTGAGGAGGGAAAAGGGCCAGTGCTGCCTCAGGTCACCAGTTGGCTCTGGCCACTGCCATTGTCCTTCCCAAAGCCTAGAAGTGGTATTTTGGTGGAGAAAGGAGAGGGAATCAATGGTTCCTTTAGATTCTCCAAGGACCTTGCCTTTGTTGGAATTCAAGCCCACACTGCTCAAGTCTGCAATCCTCAATGAGAAGTTAGTTAGCATTAGAATAGTCTGAAGGTTTCCCTTCCCCCATGTCTTCTGTATGCCAGTTGGGAATGTATCTTTTTCTTCTCTCCTCTCTGTTTCTGCTCTCATTCTGATTGGTTGTTTAGAATAGATATTTTTCTGCTGTAAGCCCTTTTGAATCTGGATTCTGCCTTCTTACACCATAGTACAGAGAGTATGTGCTGTGTGCTTTGAGATCTCTCTCTGCTTGAGTGTCAGGAGAGATGCCGTGATTGAGTTTTCCCCCTCTCTTGAAAACTTATAAGAGATGGGTGTTAGAGTAGCTCAGACCCAGTTCTTGATTATTAATAAATGCAGTTATTTCTTATTATTGTAAATAAACCTTTTGTGATTTCTTTTAAAAGATTGGACTCTGCATCTTGCCTGCCTAAGCTCTGAATTCTTTACAGTAACATCACGCGGCACGTCACACTCTGCTCTCTAATGAGTTGATGCTCAACTTTTGGTACTCTGTTTATTTTAGGGTAGTCTTCCCTAACAGCCTTTTACCATTCTGCTCAGTGAAGGGGCTGCTTCCATTTTTAAAATGAGAGTTATGATATTGTACTTATATTGATCTGTAGATAATCATCCCAGGATTTCTAGACTTATACATTAGTATACATGATCATTATTAAGGATTAACTAAACTGAGTATCGTGGCTTCATTCTTTTCTATGGCAAGGGTGGCTCTATGAGTTGTTTTCAAAGAATGGATTAGGTTGCTCAACTAAGAAAACTAACATTATCTTCATTTTGCTATCTTCTGGAGCTATCCTTAACAGACTGGTCTGCAAGGTTCTGTGGACCTATTTGAACCCTGATTTGAACCCGGGAGAGATAGAGAGAAGGGCACCTTGGGAAAGACTCTTGTTTGAAATCCTGTTGAGTTGCTGCCAGTGCACAAAGCATTCGATTAGTTTGGTTCTCTCTCTTGATACAACACTTTCCTACATATCTCCTTGTTTGTGCCTCTTCTTTCCCCAAACAATATGATGAACATTTATTTTTACATTGGCTAAATCAGGCATCCTCAAACAGTGGCCTTCCAGCTGTTTGGGCCTCTAACTCCTAGGGCTTCTGGGAGTTGGAGGTCCAAACAGCTGGAGAGCCTTAGTTTGGGGATTCCTAGGCTATATCATTCATACATATCTTTACTTTGATATATTGTAATGGAAAACAAACAGGAAATCAAATGGACCAAAGGCCTGACCCACCCTAAAACTGCTCCCTCCCCATATATGCTATATAGATTCTGTTGCTACCTGCTGAAGCAATGCTTTGAATGAAAGTGAACGCAACCGCTTAGTCAGTGCTTCCCCAGATACTGCAAACATGAATCCCTGAAAACATCAAGAAAGACATTTTAATAGTGTATTCTAAGGAAATGAGTCAACATTTTAAAAACAAATATACTGTAGTTGGGGATTATATTGATTGGAACACACTGACGTATGAATCCTGCAACATATTCTGATGCAATTCCTTAATTTAAGATAGGGTAGATTGAGATATACTGCTTGAGCTCTAATACTTTTCTATAATCCAGAGGTAGATGGGGCAACAAGGGAGCTGGCTGTTTTGGACTTGATCATAACAAATAGCAAAGAAATGGTCAATGGAATTAAATTTTTGAGAAGGGGTGACCATGTCCTTTGAGATTTATTAAACACAGGAAGTAGAATGCTGAGTACAGTTGGATGTGCACTCTTAACTTTAAGAAAACCCATTTTGATAAGCCTAGTGAAATACTGAGTAAGATCTAGAGCTGTTCAACATATTTATAAATAATTGGGATAATGAAACAGAGGACATTCTTAACAAATTTGCAGATGACATTAAACTTGGAGGGATAGGTACTACCTTGGATAATAGGATTGAAGATGAACTTAACACATTGATGAATTGGGCCAACAGTAACAAAACAAATTGCTATAGACATAATGGAATTTACTACATTTAGTTAGGAAAAAAATTCAGATGCACATATATAAGATGGGCAGCAGTCTATATAGAAAGGATCTAGGGCCGTAACAGACATAAGATAGTATGATGCACTGGAAAAAAAGCAAATGTAATGAACTCTCCTTCATTGGGAGTTTTTAAGGAGAGGTCAACAGCTATCCTCAGAACAGATGACCATTCAGAGTGTGTGGCAGAGATTTTGGATGAATAAATAGTGCAGTTAAGCCAGGGTCATGGAAAAAGTACAAATATAACTGGAAGCTGATCAGAGCTTTGTACCCAGCATATAAACTGAAAACGTGGTAATGTTTTCTTTCTTCTTCTTTTATTTTAAAAAGGGTTTCTCTGTTTTTTACACTTCCCAAATAGTTTTGTTCATAATTAAATATACCAAAATATTATCAATCCAATGTCACTTTCAGATGTTCATTTATAACTGTTATTTATGAGGTTTAATGCTAGCACCTACCTGAATTATATATGTGACTAAGCTAATCCCTCCCAGCAGAAGAAATATCAGAGAATACAGTGTTGTATTGTGGCTTCTTTTTACAGGATCCTGTTCTTGGAAAGCCTGAATTGCAAAACAAAGTGTAAATCAAATATCAAATAATTACTTTCAACTGTTTTATTTAGTGGAGTCATCTATAAAAACAATTGTTACAAATTCTAACACAGCTCTACAGGCTATCCCTAATTCTTCTTTCTTTCCTTTTAAGAGTCAGTTGACATTTCTTTATCTGTTGAGGAGTCTGTAATAGCCTCCTCAACAGCTTTAATCAATTTCCCCATGTTTTATAACCCCCCCCCCCCGTACAACATTGTTTTTATACAATAATTTCTATATAAATTCCATATGATTCAAAAGATGTGACTAAGAAAAATCCTTCATGTAGTCCTGTGACACTCTAGAAACAGAAAATTAAGGCCTGGATACAAATTTGCAATTTAAGGTGCATCTCCACTGTAGAATTAATGCAGTTTGATACCACTTTAAATTACCAAGACTCAATGCTATGGATTTATGGTAGATGTAGTTTTACAAGGTATTTAGCATGTAGTTTGCTGCATCAAACTTCAAATCCCAAGATCCCACAGCATAGCAGTTAAATGGTGTCAAACTGCATTAATTCTTCAGTGTAGGTGCACTCTTAATCATAGAATTGTAGAGTTGGAAGAGACCTTGTGGGCCATCCAGTCCAACCGCTGGCCAAGAAACAGGAAAATCACATTCAAAGCATTATAATGTAAGGGCACTGGTAAGAAAACAAAACTCTTAATGTCTGGAAGAAGGCTACATGGAACTGAAGTTATTTATTTAACATATTCATAACTCGCACCTCACCTTCCTTAAGCCTAACAAGAAGCAAACACATATCCATATTTACTTGAGTAAAATGAGCCAGCGAATGTAATGTATACCTCAGTTTTGAAGGTGCACTTTACAAAAAATGGATCTGCTCTCAAATGTAACACACCCAACAGCGCAAGCATAGTACACCAGGGAGGAAGGCAGCATGGACAAAGCCCCTCTATCAGGTTGAGGATGGTGAACTCACTAGCCTCACACAATTGAAAGCCTCATTCACCAGGTTTTCAAAACCTCCCCAAACAGTTTTAAAAGCCTCATGAATGGGGCCAGTTGGGAACCACAGGGGCCTGAGCCTGGGGGATCAAGGGAGAGACCCCGAGGGCTGCCTGGGAGGCAAGATCCATGGCTAAGTGGCAGGAATGACTTCTTTGGGTGCCACTGAGCACTGAGGCTGCTGCCGCCACCACCAGGACCAATCTCATAAGGACCCCCCCCCTCGCAACTCCCTGTCCTGCCTCTGGAGTTCTAGCCTCTCTAGATCTTTTTACGCAGGTAGTTTTATGTGTGCGATTCTAACACACCATCAAACCTTAGGTGCACCTCAATTTTGGCCATGTAAATTAGTCATAAAAGGCGAACATTAGACTTGAGCAAATATGGTACTGAAACGACTCAAACCAACTATTAATTCTTGTACAATAATAAATATTTATCATCCAAAAATCTGGATTCACCATTCTATAGTTAAGAAGGATCATTAAGAAGGGTTTTCCACCTAACTATCACCCACATCCTCTCAGAAGACAAGACCACTTAGAAAAAAAAAACCTGATACAGATTTTCAAGAATGTGTGAGTACATATGTGAGATATATTTTTCTCCCTTTTCTAATACCAGCAGCCGAACTAATGGCATGAAGTGGTGGAAACACTAGAGCAGATAAAAAGAGGTACTTCATTCTAGGCCTGGCTAAACTGTGGAGGACGCCACAACTTGCTGGTACTGATGGTCACCAAGTTGTGTAGTTTAAAAAGGAAATTACTTCTTAGAACTTACATTCTATGTCTATTTTTTTGTTTTGTGTATTTTAATATGTACTTTATGGAAATATGTTTTAATATGTGAATTTTATCAAGTGTTTTAAAGTGATTATGTGTTTTGCTTATGAGTTTTAGTAATGTTGTAATCCATCTTGAGCCATGAAAAGAGGTGGGAAATAAATAAATAAATAAATAAATAAATAAATAATTTGATACATAACAAGACCAGTACACAGCAAATAAGATCACTATGCTGGCTCTTGTATTTGATCACACATCAGACACTTTCCAAGTATCTAGAACTCTGTGATGTATTGGTGAATAATGCATGCACATCCGAGTAGGGTGACTTTTTGCAGCAGACAGAAGGTAATTTTGATTTTGATTATTATTATTATTATTATTATTAACTAGCGGTCCCCTGCCACACGTTGCTGTGGCCCAGTCTGGTGATATGGAAAATCAATTATTTAGAAAGTACTGGTTTCTAATATATGCAATGTCTTTATGCTTGTGGGTAAACAGTATTTCTTGATGTTTCTTTGACAGTGTTGACGTAGGGATTGTCTGGTTTGACTACTCTGGAACATGCAAAATATAATTGTACATCTTTAGGAGTCCCTTTCAAATCTATAATACTTTATCTCTCTGTGTGTGAATCATATATATCTATCTATATCTATGGCTGGATGGCTCTTTGTCAGGAGGGCTTTGATTACGTTTTCTTGCCCTGGTGAAGGGAGTTGGATTGGATGGCCTTAAGTATTTTCTGTTGGTCATGGGGATTCTGTGTGGGAAGTTTACCCCGATTCTGTTTTGTAGGGTTCATTCAGAATGGTCTTTGATTGTAGGTGAACTATAAATCCCAGTAACTACAATTCCCAAATGCCAAGGTCTATTTCCCCCAAACTCCATCTGTGTCCATATTTGGGCATATGGAATATTCGTGCCAAGTTTGGTCCAGATCCATCATTGTTTGAGTCCACAGTGCTCTCTGGATGTAGGTGAACTACAACTCCCAAACTCAAGGTCAATGCCCACCAACCCTTCTAGTGTTTTCTGTTGGTCATGGGAGTCCTGTGTGCCAATTTTGGTTCAATTCCATCGTTGATGGAGTTCAGAATGCTCTTTGATTGTAGGTGAACTATAAATCCCAGCAACTACAACTCCCAAATGAAAAATCATAATTTTTTGAGTGATGGTCACTCCTTGTGTTGTGAGACGTTTTGTTTCCCAAATTTGGTGTGATTTCGTTCATTGGTTCTTTTGTTTTTAAGGTACTCATTATGCACAGAGCATTTATATATATATATAGATAGTCAAATTCAAAGAAGATAAAATTCTACGTAATCGGCTACTAATCAAGATGACCATGTTGCATAACAAGTGTCTGAAGAGGCATCCCTCTCAGTATGAATACATGGGAACATGAGGAAGGTGAGAACGTTGCCCTCACATCTTGTTTATGAATTTCCCATAAACATCTGCTTTTTCATCCAGGGAGAAGAATACTGGACTATATGGATCTTTAGATCTGATCTAGTATGGCATTTCTCCTTATCAAGGGCAATCTACTTTAATAATTAATACCATTACTCTGAAAAAATCACCATGTTGTCTGGGAGGACCTGGGCATTGTATTTAAAAAACTTTATTTTCAAACCATTGCCATAAATAGTAGATATTTTGACCACCGCATTCTTTTCCTCCCTTTGTGGACAGACATGCAAACCAATAATTTATTTACCGCATTTGTATACTACCTTTCTCAGCCAGAGGTGATAATAATAATAATAATAATAATAATAATAATAATAATAATATTCTTGTGCCCCACCTCCTTCTCCCCGAAGGGACGCAGGGTGGTTTACGTATGGCACAAAGTGCCTAAGACAAAGCATAAATTAACGTACAGTACAATACAATAAAGTAAAAACTATAGCATATAACTATAACCCAACCCATTCAACCCCCCTCTTCCCTCCCACCTCATGATTTTTTATCTACATGTAAATAAAAGTCACTTTCAATAAAAATTATTTTAATAAAAAGATAAAATATTAAGACAACAAAAAGAAGACTTGGTTGGAGAGTGGAAAAAATATTTTGCAGAGGCTTTTGAACAATCCTATACTTACCCCAATGATTTTACCAAACATGACTGCAAATGCAGGAACGACACCCCCTCCAATGGCAGCAGCAATGACACCAATAATAATGGAGCAAAATTCAGGCTTATTCAGGGACAGAATTCTAGAATAGGGCACATCAACTAGATTCTCTTCCTGTAAGAGTAATAATAATTCTGGTTGTTGCCAAAGATCAAGAACACTGCAAGGGACAATATAAATTGCTGGGCAATGAACACACATCTAAAAATTGGTACCAAACATTATAAGGAAACTATATACGGAACTAACAAATTATTTTGATCTGCTGATGTCCATGATCTCAGAGAAATAGCTCATTCAAGAATGTGGGCAAACAACAATAAAGGAACAAAAGGCTAAGTTAGATCAAAATCTGTTGAAAGAACCACTGAAAGTCAAATAGAGGCAACTTTAATGAATTATATTGTTTTATAATGTCTCTTCAGGAGGAGCTTGAAAACGTGGTTGTTCCAGTGTGCCTTCCCAGAATAATGAACCCTTAGCATTATGTTCCCCAAAAAGCACTTTATATTCATTTAGTACTGCTTGTATGTCTCTGTCAATGCCCCACCTCCTGTATCTTGTTCATGCCTAGCATTATTTTTTAAACTTTCATTACATTTGGCCCAGCCATAGATTTTAAATTATTATTATTATTATTATTATTATTATTATTATTATTATTAAACTTTATTTGTACCCCGCTAGCATCTCCTGCAGGACTCAATGTGGCTTACAAAGGCCGAGGCCTCAACACAACAACAGCAAAACAATAACAGTACAATTTAAAGCCAAATAAAAACATAAGCAATAAAAGCAATACATCAATTACACAATAAAACCAGGGCCGGGCCAGTGGTGGGTACAAGTTTAAAAAGTGCTGGGTGTGGCAGGTGGTATTTGGATTTCCAGGCAAGTGCAATGTGCAGAGAGTCTTAAACTCAATAAAGTGCTTCTGGGACGTAGTGCTGGAGATTATCCTATTCCGGAAAGGCACATCGGAATAGCCAGGTCTTCAGATTCTTCCTGAAGACTGCCAACGTGGGTGCTAGTCTAATGTCTTTGGGGAGGGTGTTCCAGAGTCGGGGGGCAACCACAGAGAAGGCCCTGTCCCTCGTCCCCACCAAACGCGCCTGCGACGCAGGTGGGATCGCGAGCAGGGCCTCTCCGGATGAACGAAGGGATCGTG